GTGCCTTGTAAAACCGGTTGAGTCTGTGGCTTGATATTCAAGCAAGCTCTGAAATCACGTAATTTCCCAGCTAGGTTTGTATCGAAAACAGTGGCAAAAAGTTCAAGAGTGTAAGTAAGTCAGAAATACTGTCCACCTTCTTGTCAGAGTGTAATATTTCCGGCATGTACTTTAACCAGTTCCTCCCAAGTAGGTTCGGTTCGTATCTGTTAACAACGATTAGAGGAAGAGTCAACGTGTTGTCTCATGATTTACTTTCACACCACACAAGCCCAAAATAGCGAGTATCTTCCCAGTGTATGATCGCAAATTAGATTGAGTCGGAGTCAGAAGCAGGTCGAGAAAACTTCTGCTGTTAATCAATATAACCGAAGCCCCAGTATCGATCTCCAGAGGTACTGGCTGACCGTCAATGTCTAAATCAACAGTGTATGGGGTTATTCTCATTGCGTGCGAAATTAGATAGCATATGGGGTTGTCAGCGTTTTCCACAGTTCGAACTATACCCTGAACAGGGCAGGGTATCGGTCGTTGGAGCACAGGCGAACCCATACGTATGCAATATGTCCGGTTTTTCCGCACTTGTGACAAGTAGACTGTGTCTGCAAGCAGTAATCTTTTCCTGCTTCTCACTGCATCTGCAGCACGTAAAAATACATTTGTCGGTGGGTGATAGCCGAGATCCAACCGCACAGATGGCATCTGAAGGAGAATCGCTTCGATAATGAATTAATTGTTGCACAACGCTTTCCCTTTGTCTGACCAGTGTGCAGGGTGTTTCCCAAGTGAGTTTATTCTAGTCTTTTGACAGCGGACGTTCTCCAGTTTTATCGTCTAGAATGACAACCAAAAGGCATTGTACCGCCATCGTCTCTTCGAATTTCCTTGCGGGAATTTCATTATAACGGCAATCAGGTAAGGACTGTCGAATTCAGTAATACTCCTCTTCTCCATGTTGTAATTGGGAAATACTTAGGCGCGCCGTAAAAGCATATTGTCGCGGTCTCCAAAGGCCATGCAGCGCCTTAAAGCAGTCCGTCAGGGATATGGTTTCGTACAAACGCAACGCATCAAAATGCCGTTGACCTTCTGCACAGATGTGTTGTCTTAACAATTTGATAGATGGGTTTCACTAAGTTTGATGTGGGGTTGTGTACTTGTGAAAACCTCAAGATAGTCACAAAAGGTTCGTTTCCAAACTTCTAAGAATGGCTTAGACGATGTGTCCTTCCAATAGGGGTCAGGTGGGTAAGATGGCTTATAGTGAATGATTACAAGTTTACCCTCCGTCGCCAAACGTCACAGTATAGCGATTGCGGAAGTAACGCTCAGTGGCTGGCTCGTAGCTGAAGTATCACAAAGCGAAACACGTTAAGCAAACGGAAGGCAAAATTGTATTCTAACCAGCATGTCGTATAACGCATCGATCCAGTATTCTAAATTAACATGAATCAAGATAAGAAATCAGTGCAGGGTTACTGAAACACGCCAGCAGATGCAGACAACGAATAGGAAAAGCTCAGTACATTGGCCGTGAGTATGCCACAGCAGGCTAGTTACGTTCGAGCATTAGTGTCTTCGCAGTTTGGCCCATATCTGGTGGGACCACCGCGTGAGCAACGAGCGCCTTCGACGCCTTGTTTACGGTACAGGAAAAGAAAATGAACCGCTCAGCACCGTCATTTCACGTACCAGGCTTCGATGGCTCGACTATCTGTTGTGCAGGCCAGCCCACAGACTCCCGCGAAGTGCGTTGCTTGCGCCCCCGGGGTGTGGATGGAAGATGAAGGGTGGACAAGCGATCACTTAGTCAAGAGGAATGAAGGTTCTTACTTCGACGTTGACCTCGGTTGGAGCCTCACGGCTCCCTGGTTGGGGTCCGAAAGACGATGAATACGTTTGGCTGGATACAATTGTGGACATGGCTATGAGCTGATCTCAGTGGCGCTCGCATTGAGTTCCTTTGTCCCTTCCACATCTCTTCAATCGCGATCTCATTTCTTAGCACAATACAAATTCTGCTTAACAAATTTTTTGCTGCATAGTAGCCGGCTGGTAGATTCCCGGTACGATGATCATCCGTTACTGGCAGCTCAACTGGTGTGCACCTGTTGTAGGTATTCTTTCCTTTTTTCCTCATACATTGCAGCACAGTAGATGAGTTGTTTTCCAACTTTAGCTAATGTGTATAAAGATGATGATTCGCGAAGATTGCATTGTTGAGTAGACCGTTTTTGTCCCCGAATGATCGAGTTCTGCGACCTGGTGTCAGAGAATGCCAAAGCAATCCCACCGAACGGAGATCAGCTGCTGACTGGAGTGCAACACGCCGTGCGAACACTTGTCCCATAGAAAATGGAGGAACCCAAATTAGCTGGTTATAGCATTTGGGAAAGCAAATAGAGCAATTTCTGCATATTGATGTGTCTACACGAGCAACCGGCCTGGTGACATTTCGACACAAATAGGAAAAGTCCGCAGCGTGTTGGAAAAGATGCAGTACGAAAAGGCGGTTGCTCTAGAGACAGTTATCCAAAAATTCGGCGACTTCTGTGAGGGCCAGACTAACAAGCCGTATCAGCAGTATCATTTGCTCTCGAAACAGACGCCGAATGAATCGTGAATTACGTTCCGGAGCTGAAGATTCTGAAGTTGTATGACCGACAGTGTCGTCTGAGATAGCATTGTGTTTGGGATTTGTTACGATTCGATGACCACTACCGCAATTCTGTACACGCACAGGAACGGGAAGCTCATAAAAGGAACACAACTCAGCTCATGGATGATACACAGGCTCAGCCTCAAAATCAATAGCCGCAGCCCCAAGTAGAAGACAAGATCACTGAACGAGATCTAGTATGATGACAAGACAGACGTCCACCGATGAAACACTCGTGGGTATTTATAGGTCTAGTAAAAACCTTGTGAGACTGGACAACCACAGCCCTGGTTTGGAGAGAAAGGATTTGCGCACGCAGTTTGAAAGTCAAAACGATGTCTGATAATAAATCCACATTTTAATTGATGCCAGTGTAATCTTTTGGAAATCTGGCGTTTTCCAACAGAATCAATGGTGAACAGATTAACAAGCAGCTATTGCGGCAACGGCAAGTATCACCCGGACAATGACATAGGGAATCATTTTGATGCACGCCACATCTAGCAAATGCGGTTACCGACTGATACAGAACTGTGTGCCGTATCCAGATTGTCGAGAAAAACTGTTACCAAGACACAAGAGACTTGTAAATTCTGCACCGCGCGACACCCGAAAAACCGGGATCAATGTTCGGCGTGGGGCGGAATTTGCACAAAATGTGGCAGACGGAATCATTTCGCTCGATGCTGCCAGTTTTCCAAAGTGAATGCCCTCAGTCGTGACACAAACTCTTCGACTCTGCATATTCAATCAGCAACATGTCTTGGACGGGATGAAAGAGGTGCGTCTACGCAAGTTTACTGTTTGGCGACGAATTCGTGCGTTTTTTGTTAGACAAGAGTGCTAATATCAATGCAAGACTAGCGAAGCAGTGGTCAAAAATTCATGCGCGACCTGGTCAAGACTCTCTACACAGGGGGAACGGTTCCGGACTCTAACTGAAGGGTTTAGCCATAATCTAAGTGAAGGATCCCAATGACGGATCTTCGTATGCGATGGAGTTCGTGATCGTGGAGGAAGAGCCCACACTGATTCACGGCAATGACTCGATTCAGTGTCTTGGCTTTGTTTATTTTAACCACGATCGTTTCGTGCGTGCGAATCAAGTGGAGACAGATGGCAATGAACTGTATCTGCTCGTGTTTAGCCCAGGTTTGGGGAGGTTTGAAAGTTCCGCTCAGCTGTCCCTAGATCCGCCAACACGACCGACTGCGGTATCGTCTAAAAGGGTTCTGTTTGCTTTACGCACTAAGTTCGCCACCGAATTAAGTAGGGATGCAGTTGGAAGTAATCCCCAAGGTTGACCAACTGGCAAACTGGGTTAGTCAGGTCATAACTGCTACAAAAAAACAGTGGGTTTCGGTTATGAGTAGACCCCAAGCCGTTGAATGAGACCATAAGCAGAGAGTGTTATGCGGTGTCCACGTAAGATGTCCTACCATGTTTGGTTAAGGCTAAGTACTTCGCCAAATTTGACCCATCATGGACGTTCTGGTGCATGGTCCAAAAGGAAGAGTTTAGTGTTCCAAACTTTCGCGACACCGTTCGGGCGATTTCGCTGGCGACGCTTACCGTTTGGCCTGAAGGTTTCGAGTGAAAGTTTCCGGAAATCGTTATTGCAAGCTGTTGACGATATACACGGTGTAAAATGTGTGGCACACGATGTGCTGATTTACGACTCGACCGATCAGGAAGATGGCGCCAATTCGCGTTGTAAGCAGCTAGATTGCCGCAAACGAACGAAACAGATGATGGGACATTCACGCATCTACGCTGATTAGTTAATATCTGGCTGCGCTAGAGTGAGCTTGTTTGACCGAAGAAAAAGAAGAATCTAAGGAAAGCAAAAGCGTCGTTAGCTATGAAAACGGCCTGGTTATATGCACCGGGGTTTCTACAGGCCAGTTATGTTGCCACTTTTACGGAGCATGCTTTGTTAAATAAACCGTTTGTCCCTGAAGGATCGAGTTCAGCGACAGGTATTACGGCGCACAAGAATAAGGTGGGTCTGGATCTGATTGTCGAGCAGCTTGCAGAGTGGCTTGAAATTTAGAACAAAAGGATAGGAAACAGGAACGAAGTAAGAAAAATGCTTGTAAATAACTACACTGCGATCAATTTGTGATGCCGTCAGGATTTTACAGTTTCGTCTTGATCTGCGCATGGGTACAAAAAACAACACTAAGGAATGCAGAAAGATCAGCGTAAAAGGGAGGATTAGCGAGGCTTTTATCATAGTAGAACAAAAGAGACAGGACTGGACTTGAATGGAAGTGAGCGCCATTGAAGGGTAATTAGACTGGGAAGATCCAAAAGACGGTGCAAAGTGCAAGTGACTCACCGGACGAGACTGGAGGCCAAATTCATTAGAATTGAATACTCTTAATCGCTCGAGTAACTGTTCTGCTGTGTAAGGAAGTTTACCACGAGGGCCAACAACTACGACTGCAAGTGGAGGAGAGGGAGCCGGATGGAAAGGAGCATTTCCATTGCGTCGAGGCTTTCGCTTAATGAAGTTGGCCGTCGTCTGCATCACGGTTGCAAGTCCGAATTCTGAAGAAGCGTCCGGACTTGGGGTACTCGACTGCTGTAGTGAAGCACTCGGGGTCAAACTGGAAATTCTTTGAGGAGGAGAGGGAGGTGATCGATCAGAAGAATTTAGATTGAGTTCGCGCACCCGAATCCCGTAATCATTGATGGTCTTGCGATCAAGGCTGGAAAAATCGTACGAAAGCCTCGAATAAGTAGTGGCGCCTGAGCCGTGCCCTGCCAAAAATGAATGTCTGACAGACAAGTTGGTTTTGCATGGCCTGCGGACCCGACCCAATTCCGTGTTGCTTCGTCCAATGGAAGTCGGATGGGAAGCAGACCCCAATGTTTCCGTATCGCGCGGAGGACTTTCAACAGGTTCTAACCCATTCTCAAAAGTATTTGTAAGGATGGTGTGAGACTCTTGGTGAACGGGATATTCACTTTGATCCAAAACCCCAAGTGAGATATCAGTATCGCCTATGATTAAATGAAAGACAAAAGCAATCACAACAGAAACTGATGAACAACATCCTGTGTAGGTAGCACGAAAATATTATGGAGCAATTCTACACATGATGCACAATGAGTTGCGTCAATCAACTCTGCGTTGATCATCCGCATGTCTAGTTCTCATATGTAAGCCAGACTAATGGGTTTGAAGATTGTTTACAGAGGTAAAACGACCGATCGTTTGAGATTTGTTTATCCGCTGTGGGCCGAGAAGAAAAATAAGGTGGATCGGATTGAAAACTCAAAAGCGCTTCGCTACCGAAAAATAAGAGCAGTAATACAAAAAAAACAGTGAAGCGATGGACACCGAACTGAAAGTCCAGTAACGTACGGCTATTACTGAGTCGTCTGCTACTGTGTCATGTCCGACCATTTCGAACCACCGAATTGGCTGGTTCCATTGCCTGGTTAATGAAAAGTACAGGTAACAGGGAGGTTCCGTTGTTAGATCAGCCTCTTCATGCTACTTTGCCGTGTTATCACCTAATCACATGACTAGAAGGGATGGAATTTGCTAGGGTTGAAACCAGGCGAATGGTGCTGTGAAAGGCGAAATCAAGTTGCATGGTGGTTACAGCAACATAACTAAGTTGAGTCTGCAAGGAGTGCAATGACCCACTGCGCCTGATGCCGATACAAACGAGAAATCGAAGAGAGGCGTCGCACAGATCCCGATTATGCCGAAATTTGAAAGAGCGCAATTTGCCAATGACAGCAATTGCCGGTAAGATTAGCTACAAGCTAAATGAGTCATCGAATGAAGAAGGCGTGAGAAGTACGCACGTACGTCGTACCCACGCTTTGCTACCGCCACGCAAATGCCAGGCGCTTGCGAGCTAGAGATACTGCGAGGCTAAAATTGATGACCTTTGGGGCACAAGCCAGATGAGTCTACTAAGGGGTCGCCGGACGGCTGAAGTCTTATCTTAGGCAGCGCAGTCGACTGGCGGTTTGTCACAAGAAACGCCAAACCTCTGGTAAGCAGCTTTCTCCGACCGATACCTACCAGCGGCTCCTTCGGCCACAGCAGCTATCCCACTAACATACCAATGCGCTTGGAAGTACACCAATATTACTCACGGGTTCGATTGGACAATGATCTTTACCCTGGATGAACGCTTCACCATCTAATAGGCCGAGCAAAGCCGCTGCTTGTTCAACATGATTCATATGCAGTGTGCGGTGATTAAGGCATTAAATTTCATTTGCACTACCGATAATCTAAATCATATAGGATCGTTCTTTTGGCTTGGATGAAATTACTGCCGATCGTCACAGTTTTCATCACTCACGACGGTATGGTTGCAAACGACCCCAATGGGAATGATTGTATATCTGTGTGCAATGTTGGAGTACCACACAGTACAGATGAATGTGGAGAAAGCAGCAGCAGTCAATCACACATGGTGCAAGTTGAGAATCGTTATAGGAGCCGGCCTACTTATTGCGGCGAAACTGGTAGGTTGCACACCACTATGATCCCCTGAGATACATTAGATAGTAATCACTAGTGTCTCTATTGCCACCCACAACAGATAGATTTGTGAACGCAGTTTAAGAAATCGCAGACTCAACATCTTTCGGACGTGGATGGATTTAGCCTTTCGAAGCTTAGCATCGAGAAACGGGTAATAGGTTCGGTTCGACTCGTGTAGAGTACAGATGCAACAAGTTTCATGCGACGAATAGAGAATAGAAACCCTACTCACTGGTTTGCAACGGAATAGAGCCCATAATCTGTGACAGTTTAAAAACCTGGCCCAGCAGCGTTAGACAGATTAGTACTGGCTATCAATCAATCACTTCGTATTGTGCTTCGCACCCCCAAAGTGCAAGGCATGTCTCCAAGATTAGAAGGGACAAACTCCTGGACTGACCATTGGCGGGAACAAATGAGAAGTCATCCAGAAGTTCAGTTACTTGAGCAACTACATCAGAGCTTGGAATTTCACAAATATCAGCGACAGTATAGCAAAAGCTCGAGGTGCTTTTGCTAATATCTACACCAGCTGTGGCCTCGTTGACATCAGTATACACGTTGGCTAGAGGTGGGAAACCAGCTGGATATTATACTGCAATAAAACAAATAAGATAGGAGCACAAAAGTATGAAAAAGGAAAACGGTAAAAACAAGACGAAAAATTATATTACGCGTTGCAACCGAGATCGCAGTTTGAGGGGAGAATAAGGGGGGTTAGATGGAAAAACTCACGACACAAACGTCACTGAGGTCCGCTCATAGCCATGTCAACAAGTGAATCGTCCTTCAGACCCAAGCCGCGAGGTCAAGTTCGAAGTGAGGTTCCGTATTCCTCTTGACCGAGTCATCGCTTGGCCTCCCCCTTCTGCTTTCATCCATACCCCGATCGCGCAAACAACACACATCGGGGTAATCGGTGTACCGGCATGCTTAACACACGTTCCAACCGACGGGGCTTGGTGTGTGAAATGATAGAGCTGAGCAGTTCACTTCCTCTTCTTGCGCCATAAACAAGACGGTGAACACGCTCATTATTCATACGGTGTTCCCACCAGATGTGAGTTAAACTGCGAAAGCACCGGTGATCGAACGTAACTAGCCTCTTTAAGTTCGTCGATCTGATGGGTTAGGTTTTACGACCGTACAGTAGAATTGAACAGACGGCTGCATTGTAGACTACCCTTCAGGGCGAGTGATGTCTCGCCTGTGCCATAAGTGGCGTATGCCAGCAAAAGCAGTGAGTTTCTGCTATACGGTTGGTGACTTTATTTTCTATTCCACAGGCGCTGACACAACTGCCCAAGTGGCTGAATCAGTGAGCGACTTCGAGGTGATCCTCACCAAGAGTCTGCACAGTGTGTGTTCCCGCCAACATTGGAGGAAAGTCTGGCATATGGAGAGTGGAAAGGAAAGCCTGAAAGGGCTTATGGCCAGCGCTGATCTTGGTGTGTTTGCGAGCTATCACAGATGAGGACAATGTCGTCAGCATACTCCAAGTCAGGAAGCAGATTTACACCTAAGTTGTTTCCAGTAGACACAGTTACCATAACTTCGTCAGTTGGTGACTTCAGGCATCATTTTCACATCGCTGGAGATACTGAAGGGCGGCAACAGTTTGCCATAAGCCCTCACTCTGCCCGAACTACGTGCGTAGAGCGTTATTAACGTAGTTGCATATTTCTCGAACACACCACCCTCAAACAGTCCCATAATGCTCATCGATTCATCGAATCAAAGGCACTAGTGACGTCAATGAACATGAGTGGAATGGATCGACAATACAAGTCATGGTGCTTCAACAATTGAAGTAAAGTTATGATGTAATCAATGCAGCCACGATTTTGACAGAACCGGCTTGCACTCCACTAATATGGCTTTCACGTGCGCCAGTCATTCTGCGAAGTACGAGAGAGGTAGGAAACTTAAAGGCGATGTATATCAGACCGATTTTACTATGAATGCCGAATTCAGGTGAGCCCCTTTGAAGATCGGGATAATAACAGAGAAGCTCCAGTTGGCTGGGACAGGTTTCATGTTCCAACAGTTTCACTAATAAATAGTGTAGGTCGTCAGAAAGAAGATGACTGGAGTAGGATCACCTGGTCCCGCGGCCCTACACAATTTCAGCAGTCTGATCTCATGTTCGACTTTTAAGTGGATACAAAGTGACGACCAAGGGAGCAGGCCGATCAATGGTCGGCCATAGAGCTGACAACTCTCGTCTATTAAACAGATTTTCACGGCGCTCAATCCAACGTTTCAAACATTTTGATAGGTTGCGGATAGGTCATTCTCTATTGTCGTGTGTGGTTTCGCAAACGCCAGATTTCTTGCCTCCAGTTTCCTGTATCAAACGGAGTAACTTCCGATGGTTACAATTGTAGTGGCTGTCTCCATCACCGAAGCACGGTGAGACCACCACGCCTCGCGTTCTCTTTTAGGTTAGCACGCAGTTTACGCGGAGGTCTATGCGAGTCTTGTTGTGCTCGTTTCCATTAGAAGTTTGTCGGCCGGCATCTATAAATTCCGGAGACTGTCTAAATACCCAATGTGCAGGTCAGTAATCTGCATGAAGACATGCCTGCTGATAAAAAGCGATCAATCATCCTTAACTATGTTTAAAAAGCGCTTACTCAACAGAAATGCCGGCGTACGTTGAGATACATCTAGAACATCTGTCTTGGCCAGCTGACAGGCGTCTGTGAACTCACAGCGTCGTTCTGGGCGTCCAGCGAAACGGACCACTCAGATCAGCAGAAAAAAGTGAGTGGTTGGAATCCAGCTTGTACTCCAAATCCAGCGACAGTTTTGGACACACCCACTCCAGCAAAAATGAGCACCTATTGATCGATTTGCGCCCATGGTTAGTCCGAGGATGGTGGGCGCCATGGCACCCTTCGGCGGGTGTTGCGTCGGAAGCTAGTGCTCACGAAGAATAGAGGAGCAGCTTCACACAGGTGTAACAACCGCGTACCTTTATCATTACGTGAGTAGACAACGTGATGGCCGCCCAGATGAAGCTCATCAGCGGACGATTTTCTAACTTTGGAGTTCATATCACCAGCAAGCAACACATTATCCTCAGTTCTGTTCTGTTCAGTTGGTTATAGTAGTTATATTTCACAGTGTCTGCATTACATTTTGTAAGACGTAGACAGCAATGGCAGACATCTCTTAAACTCGCGTGATATAGAAGCTTTGGACGATCCAGGTAGTCGGACGGCACACATCCGGCTGCGGAATGGGATTCATCCGACCATAGCAATTTCTGCCCGGGGGCTCAGAGAAGTACTCAGACAGGATTGATCGGCATTTAAAGCTGCATCATCTCCGGGTAGACGCAACGAGAAAATACCGCCAATGTCAGATGAAGACAAACCATTAGTGGGCAAAAGGTTCGAGTCTTAATACAGGCTTCCGATGAACAGCAGATATCGATCAATCGAGTCTCCAGGGTTTAGGCAAGTGCTGCCTGTTGACCAATCTG